GGGTAGCATGTGAATTTAATCCAGGTGTAACTAAAGTCATATTTAAATGTTGATTATATTGTGTATCATCTATTAATTATTAATTGATATCTGTAAAGTAACTTAAGGTACTTCACAAATGTAGTGGAGTAAAAGTACACTATTAACCTCTGGATTGCAGTGGATTAGAAATACAAACATAACATAAAATGGAAATACTCAAGAAAATACAAGTAGGCTACCTCAAAATTGTACTTAAGTACAGTACTTGAGTAAATGTGCTTAGTTACTTCCCACCTCTGAAGACAGAACATATCAAAACAAAAAGCATAAGATTTGAGAAATGGCAAATCATTAATATGTGCAAACATATGAAGTCACCAAAACGCTTCTAGAACATTCTTAAAGATCGTACCCAGACACCAGCAGCTGTCCATCTGAGGAGAACGCACAGCAGAGGACTGGAGCTGATTGGCCCGTCAACGTGTGCAGGAGCTGCATCTTATAGCCTGCAAGAGAGAGGGGGGGGGGAACTGTAGTTACACACAACTGGGTCAGATAACCCCCACCCAACTGACACCCAGCTCACCAGTAGGTAAGGGATCATGTGCAGCGAGGCGGTCATTATTGGAAAAATAATTGTTGTTTTCTGTGACTGTCCAAGTCTGCTCACAGTTTATACCGTGGCCGTTTCTCAATGTCGAGTAAAGCTGCTCCAGAGCCACTATTTCAAGCATACTACGTCATCAAGTGGCGCCGAATCACTGTTTAAATGCCCAGCATACATGTGCTACCAAGCAAGCCTCCTCGACATTGAGAAACGGCCCGTGTTCCCTTTGTGTTTACTTCCTGTCTCCTTCTGTTGATTTATCTGACTTCCAGTGCTTTCTCTCTCTTGATCCTCCTTAGCAACGGTCATTATAGTGCTTAACAGTGGTCTATACTGCTGTCACTTCTGAAATGTCCAAATTTACCAATCAGAATCGAGTATTCAACAAAGCCATGTAATAAGCCATAGAGGTAGGAACGTTTTATACGAAGACTTTGTTCTGCTATTGGTCACAATAATTGTTAGCCTGATAAACAGACCCCTCCCAACACACACAAAATTATACAGTTGAAAAAGGAAACATTGGTCAGATATAAAAATAAAATACAATAGGAGTGCAGAACATTTAGAAAATGTTATATGCTTAATTTTTGGTCATATAAAAGCACTTCATAGCATCAGAAACCTCTGAAAGAAGCTTGTACTGGCAGCTATCGAAATAATAATATGTCTTGAAATACTGATGCTGGTATATTACAAAGCCGTTACACGAATAATTGTTATTTCCTCTGAGAGCTCTAATCTGAGGGGATGTTGTTGAACTGCACACATCTATATTTAGCCTCACACTCTTCTGTCTGACAAGGTAACAGTGAAATCCTGCCTTTATGGCGGCACTTGTTAACTATATACCTCGTTCGCAACACAGGAACATTGTTTATGGAAAACCAAGGTCAACTCTCTGAGCTGATAACGATTGGACGTTGTAATTATGACAGAAACGATCATGTGAGCTAAAGAGATCCTCCTGGTGTGCAAAGATATGTAAAGGTATGTGAGGATGTGTCACTCTACCTCCATAGCCGGACTTGTTAACAGCCCAGATCTTCAGGTGACTGTCCTGCCCACAGGAAGCCACACAAAACTGTACAGACTGACCACCTGGAAAGACAAAAACAGACAATAAAAACAAATATTCAAAAATCACAGACTCAATTTTTCCCTAACAACTATCAGTCGGTTGATTTGATTCTTCCCTACAGTGAAATAAGACTGCCTCATGAGAGATATAGTGAGGTTAGAATATATGTTAACAGATATGCATAATTAACTGTATGTACCTTATTATTCTTAATAACAATTATATTTTCATTTTTTTGTAGTTATTCATATTCATTTAGTTTCTGGTAAAGTTCAATTTGAATTCAAAATGAAATGGTAATGTTTTTTTTAATGTGTCCTTTAATGTATCCTGTATTAGTTTCTTCAATAATCAGATAGGAGGAATTCTTGCTGGGTTAATCTTATGCAAAAAATGAGTATTGACCAAAACTAAATTCCTGTGTAATTGTTATGAATCCTCACCACTGAGGATGCTGGGAGCGAAGGTGCAGCAGGTGACCCCCAGGTCGTGGGCGTTTTTCTCTGCGTGGAGCTGGTTCATGTCCAGGTCCCACAGACGCAGGTCCCCGTAGGTGGAGCCCGTCATGAACAGCTGACTGCAGGGGCTGAAGCAGCAGGCCACCATCGTCGTGTCACTCACTGCTCCGCTCCTGCAGAACACAACCAACATGTGCATCAGACATCTTTTAACGCCATTGTTCAAGTACAATCACGTATGGAACGGCATGCTGTTTGGAAAGCACACATGTCATTCAACTGCAAACAGCACTAAGGTTTCCGCTGGGTTAAATGTCACACAAAGTGACCTAGAAGAATCTGGAGGAAAAAACCCACTTCACCTTTTTAAATAATTGTTTTTATTGACTTAGTGTAACATCTTTACTAAAAATCTAAGATTGTAAATGAACCTTAGCAGCTGTTTGGAGGGGAAGTCCCACAGAGCCAAAGAGCCGTCCGATGCACCGGACACCAGGTGAGCAGAGTCAGGAGAGAGAGCGCAGATCCTCACAGGACTACGGCCGGGATGCTCCAGCACGGCCTCGATCTCTCCCGTGCTCATGGACCAGACCAACGTGGTGGCATCAGTGGAACATGAGGCGAGGAACTGTCCACAGCTAGTGAAGCAGCAGCAGTGCACGGTGTACCCATGTCCCGTCAGCGGGGAGAAGGGAAGCTCGGAGAAGTCGTGCGTGTTGTATATCCGGAGAGTTTTGTCCCCAGAACACGAGGCGAACAGTTTCCCAGAGAAGGCACACCAGTTGACATCGTCTCGGTGGTCTTGTAAAGTGCAAATCAGCGACGTCATTTGGAGAGCCGGTCCTGAAGTACACAAAGAGAGAAGGAAAGACACATTGTATAATAAGGAAACACTTTAATCTTACGGAAGAGGATTAGAGCCACATGAAAAAAATCTAATTCACATCCCCACTACTACCTCACTTTTTCATGTGGCCCTAATCCTCTTCCGTATAATCTTAATATTACATATCATTGGTAAATACATATTTTTGGGTTTGGACTGTTGGTCAGACAAAACAAGACATCACCTTGGGCTTTCAGGAATTGTGAGCTGTGAGTCTCAACATTTGAACGTTTCCATTTCTAAAAGCTCTGCTAATGTGTGTTGAGTGTTTCACATGGCAGACCACGTCCCTGTGAAAGCAAAGGACTAATAACTAAATATTTCAGATAAGTGCAGAGCTGTGCCCTCCACATAAGTGAGATTAGTTATCTGATGCTGATAGTAAAATAATACAAGAGCAAGTTAGAAGTGGTGGAAAAATGAAGATATTTACAGAGCAGACACACTGTGTAACTAAAGCAACTAAAGGCATGCATTGACTTCAGTAAAGTGTTATCCCTTCAATGTTGCAGGTTGCTCTATAATAGATTGTATTTTATTTGATGATTATATTTCGTATGATTAAAAGCAACTAGTAAGATAAATGTAGTGGAGTATAATATCCTCTGAAGTGTAGTGGAGTAGAAATATAAAATAGCAAATGGAAACACTCTAGTAAAGTACCTGTATAAATGTCACATATGAACAGCACTTGCTTATTTTAATTGGCTCATTTAAGTTTAATTGCAGACAATAAACAAGCTGAATACCGTTTTTATAGATTTGTAAAGATGTGCTAAGAAGAGAAACACCATCAGAAAGACAGCAGCGAAGCCTCAGGTGCTGAGTCTGCGGAGACTGTAGCTAAAGCTTTATGCTAGCTTTATACCTAATGTTTTAAAAACATAGGCCATTATTCACAAGCGACACTTTCAAACTATGACAAGTAACAGTCCAACAAGCAAACTCAGGCTGTAAATAACATAAAATGTTATGGTACTGTTAGCTACGTCTACCTTCAGCCGTGAAGCTCCCTCCGTGTTGTCCGTTCAGTTGAATGATGTTTACTTCCGCATTGAACAGCTGACCATTACGTCAAGCTGGTTACGTCACCCACTGTCTCATGTTGATGAGCTCTGAAATCACGACTCAATAATGGGGGGAAGTGGTGTAACTAAAGTCTTATGTGTTGTTGATTATATTTAACATCATAAATACAAATCTACAAAGTAACTAAAGGTATTAAATAAATGTAGTTGAGTAAAAGTACACGATTTACCTCTGAATTGTTGTGGCGTAACTCAAGTACTGCAATAACACAATTCTGATTTGTAATTTATTTGAGTAATTCCATGTTCTGCTTCCTTATACTTATACTACAATTCAGATTGTACCTTTTACTCCACTTTATTTATCTGACAGCTATAACTACTGATTACTTTGCCAATCATAATACGAATAGATCAAGATGAGATAAGAGGGGACATTACACTATGGGTATAACATATTATTATTATTATCAGACGTGTCCTATTTTGTCCACTGCATACTTTTGTATTTGGAACCTCCAGTCATGTGATAGTCTACACATGTGACTTGGGAAAGCAGGGAGGTGTAAAGGACATTTACTCAACACTTTTTCTTTAAATCATTTTACTCTCACTTTAACGGAACATTTGCACTTTTTTATTCACACAGCTTTTTAAAGCTGTATTTAGTTTAAATTTACTTCTCAGGTAAAGGCAGACAGAATGCTACAGACAACACATATGCTTTATGTTTTTTTAATTATGATGCTTTGCCATAAATTAAATTATTCTATTAAAAGAAATAATAAAGATGTTAGTAAGCGCTATCTTGAACTACAAAATGAAAATGCTATGAAAATACTATTGAGTGCATAAATTAGTTCTAATTTTAGAGAACAAAAATGCTTTATCCACACATCTAACACTTAAAAGAAACAGTTCTGTAGAATGGAGTTAAATAAAACAAGTTGAAGTCATGTACGTTGAAAAACATCCTTTTAATAGGTCCGTGCCACACACTAGTGAAAAATAAAGCTCCTACAAAAGAATGATACTTTTATTCCACAATATTTAAATAAAGTAACTTCAAGTACTCTTGACTTGCGTACAAAAAAATCTAGCTGCCTCCATCAGGCCACAACACACAGCAAGGTTCAACACAGTGGTTACAAATGGCCGTAGGTCCTCTGTATTGTGGCAGATTACGAGGAAATGCATCATGGAAGCATAACTGAATGCTTGTGTTTCCTTTTTTTCTGCTATGGAGAGGAATGATTTCTGTATCGCTGTCCAACTCTGGAGGCCTTGTTGGATTGAAATCAAATAAAAAATAACGTTGTCATAAGAATGAAAACTAAAACAATAACATCCCCTACATGCCCCTGTTGGAAGGGTAGGCACTACCAAGATTAAGGATACCACAGTGTTTGCAGAGGATATGTATATACTGTACAAACAATATTTATGATAATGTTTTCATCACGTTCACTAAAATAGAATGCTACAATCATTCTAAGGCATAAACAATATCTTAATATTCTTAAACAATTTTTACACATCGTTCCAAACAAGACATAATATTGACATTAATAAACAGTATATACACATGAATCACCTTTGTCTAACTGTTCCTCTGCTGTTCCTTTGAATAAATGCAGTTGTACAGTCTGAACAAATGAATGCAGTCCTCTGTTGCTCCAAAGCACTGAACAGTGTAAACAGGTTTTTTTTTCTTGGCTTTGTTTGATATTTGGGAGAAAAATTAAAAACACAAAGACACATTCCTTTTTTCAATTCGAAGCAGTTCAGCTGATTCTTCCTTTTCATAGAAAATGAAGTGGACCTTGATTCATAAATAATTATTACAAAATTAAATACATTCACTATAATACGATTAAATAACAAAAGACTATGTACAAGTAGTGGAAAGTATTCTAGCGCCGACATATCAGTGACAGTTGAGGATTAATTCAGTGCAGTGTTCTGAGACAGGGAATGGTATTGCACTACAACACCCCGTTTCTCTGGGACTCTTTGGGGCCCTGTTGTAATAAAATCAAGCACACCTCATAACATGACATTTAGTTTTTTCAAGGTGTCATCCCTCTTAAGCACACCATGGTTCCTTATTAAGAATCTGACTTGTTCTTCCATCCTGCAAAGCCACATTCTTCATCAGAAAATAAAGTAAAACCTGCTGCTCCGAAATGAAGAGTTTAATGGGTTTATGAGGGGGGGGGGGATCTGAACAGATGTTTAGTTTGTTTGTTTCAGAAGCTCAGTCCATCGCTTCTCAAAGAACTTCCTCATGTTGTGACCAGCTCGACCAATTTCGGAATTGTCTTCATTGAATTTTTCGCAGTTATCGTAGACCAAGTTGACATCAATGATGAAAGTCTCCAAGTTTTGATACCTGAAATAAAGGAAAAAAGTTAGACATCACTGAGGTGTACACACATGGTATAACTAAAACATATTTTGTAAACAAATATTTCCATACTTTGAAATGATGTGCAAACACTCTGAAGCTTTTCATAGGAAAATAACAAATGGAGGTTGACTTACTGGCTGTTCACAAGCTTCTCACGTATGGTGGAGAAGTCCATGGGCTTCTTGATGACCTTCCTATAGCCAGGGACTGATTTCTGGCTGACGGGTGTGAGGAAAGGCCATGCATCCTGATGCCGTTCCAACTCAGCAAGGAGCACCCTGTTGAGCACACAAACACACATGAAGTTAAACACAGAAAACACTGAAGGTTTCTTCTTCCCTATTAACTATACAATACATGCTGCTTATGTAACAACACATTGTTATTCAGCTCTGCAGTACCCCTCAGCTCGTACATTAATAGTCTTTCAGCTAATTGATTTGGTTTTATGGCGCCCGATTTATTGTTATCAAATGAAATGAAATCGTGTTAATTGTTTATTAATTAAGGGAAACATTTCACAGCTTAAGAGCCAGATATTTCCCAGAGGGGTTGGTATAGATTAAAAGCAGAGATTTATTTGATATTAATTAATTAGACATATAACTCTTAATGACTACTGGACGTGTGGACCAACATTTATTTAAAGGCAGTTTGAAGCTCATACAAACCAAAACTAGGAAAACCAGACTAACTAGGCTCAAATCTTACTTTGTGCTGAAATGAACTTTGAACTTTTGAACTTTTAATCTAGGCAAAAATAGCATAATTTGATTTGTTCAAAGACCGTATCTCTTAGGGTTGAACCACAAAATACTTTTTTTAATGGATAAATAGAAAATACAATTTGTTACAGCCCAACAGTAGATGGCAGTGACTGTGAAAGTGTTTATAAGATGGCGTATTAAGAAGCAGAAGTGTGAACAGGCTGTCAGTAAGTACCTGCACAGACCCAGGTCCCTGTTGTTGTCTCTGGCTGTCTTGGCTCTCTTCACAAACACAGGGCTTTCCTGATTGGCTGCTGGCAGAGCAGGTGAGCTCTCCTCTGTTTTCCTCTTCCTGCTGGTGTCTTTTGCTCCCTTCTTGGGCGTGTTGCTGGCACTGGCCGGATCCTCCTCCGGTGCCTCCCCGCTACCCGCCTGCTTCCCGTTCTTCTTCCCCTCTCCACCTTTCTTACCTCCTCCCCCGCTGGATGTTACTGCTTTGCTTGGAGTTTTTTTGTTTTTGGGAACTGGACCACTTGCCTGCGTAAAGGAACGGAAAGGAACGGTTCGTAAAGTGTTGAGTTAAACCAATTTATCAAATGTATACTCCCCTTTCTTAAAGTATCAGTTTAACTTGTCAGATCTTACACCACCAATATGATCTAGTTTGACCCTGAACACATCTACATAACACATGTTGTAATGCTTAAAATTATCTATTGTTTGATTTGAAGTATACAATACAAACTTCTCTATTGTATACTTCAAATCAAAGCATATACAGCCCAAGATCGATAGAGACTAATATCATTCTTTGACCAAGAAATTGTTGGTAAATACCAACATTGGATATTGCTGTAAATTGTGTGGATAAAAGTATTAAGATTTTAATAACAGAGGAAGGCGGGCATCAAAAGAACTACATGCTTAATAACTAGGATTTTCTCTAAACTCCAGTGAAGAAAGAGGACATTCTGAATGGCTCTGATACCTTAGATATGCAGGACGGGCAGTACCAGTCTCCCTCTGGGATGGTGGTGATTTTAGGTTTGTGACAGTAAGTGTGGCAGCCTTTGTCACAGCCGTCACACAGCAGGAGCAGATCCTCGTTATCCCCCTTCCTGCAAATCTGGCAGTACTAACAAAGCAAAACAAAGGCATCCATTAAAAAAAAGCAACGAGAATAGTAGCCACTCTAGATGTGTGGTTTGAAAATATGCTGCTCACCACTTTCATAATGGACCTCTCCCAGGCTATGGACTTCTGCAGCTGCTGGATGCACATGGCCAGCTGTGCAGCGCTGCGCACTTCAGTCAGAGCCTTCCTCCAGACCTTCATGCCATGGGCCACCTCCTCCTCACCACTAAGAGGAGATAATGAGGAGTGATGAGAAACCAGAATACTCACACAGATAGGTGAATATGTAAACTGAAAGCAGTAAACAGTATCAGTAGAACCAGCCGCCAACAAGACAGCAGACCATAATAAAGAGCTCCAGCTGTGCAGAGAGAGGTGTGAGGATTTTGGGGTGAAGGGCGCTGAGAAGAGTTACACACCGAATTTGTTATGTGAAGGGGAAGTGCATGCAGAAAGAGGGAACACCTGAGTATACTGTACTGAAGCACAACACCATGCAGATGACTGCAGAAAAGAAAACAAGCGGGTAAACCAGTCAAATAAGCCTTTACAGCAAATGAAGCTGAGTGGAGTCCCCCACCCCACTCAGGAAACTGCACAAGACCAAAGAAAGGAACAGAAATGCAACAAGCCACCACAAAAAAAATCTGCTGTGAAAGCAGCAAAGACCCTCACTGTTTGAGTAGTATGGGAAACATAAAGCACACAGAGAGGAAAGGGTTCTCAATGGGAGAGTGGGGAGCTTTGGTTGGAGATATGACCTACCCTTCCCTGTCAGCACTAGTGGATGGGGCGGGAGCAGGGACAGTGACCGTACCCACATTATCCAGCCTGATCTGAATGGTGGTACCTAAGGGGCTCCTCAGGTACCTTCTCTCGACGTTGCGCTCCAGATCAGCCAGACGGGTCACTGCTATGTCCAACGGGTTGTCCAGGTGACGAATCACCCTGCCCTTCTCCCCCCGCTCCTCTGGATGGTCTTTGGAGTCCTTGTCTCCCGTGTGCGCTGACGCTGCCGTGGACTTGGTGAGGGGCTTGTGCTCGTAATACACCAGGTCCTCCCGCTCAGATTGAGGCTCCGGAAATGTCCAGCCCTGGAAGATGAAAATCAGAATGAAGGCTTTTAGTCTCTGAACATGCTGTTCCCATACTATCTTTATCTTTACCTCAAAAAGTGAAGCTTTGTCATTTCATTTGATCAATTTGTGTGTTATCAATGAAATTGTGAACCAGGAAGTGAGTCCTAAAACACCAGAGTATTACCAGAATCTATTTATTTGTTACTTCTGTGTGTATTATTTAGAGGGATCTATTAGTGAGATGGGATAGAATATAAATAACAATGCCACTCACATAGCTATTTCAACCCAAACCACAATCTTCTCTTAAACCTCATCAAGTTGTTTCCTATGTATTTTGAAAATAAGAGGTGTGCACTTTACAAGGGGTGTTTCTTGGCAGTGAAGGGGAACCAACAAAAAACAAGAACATCTTAATTAAGCTATTATACGTATGGGAGAACATGGCCCCACTCCACAGGTTAAAACATGTTTCTTACACGCTAACAACATGTGTGTGGTTGTGTGAGCTCCTTACCTTGACCTGCAGGCTGGCGGAGGTGACCTTCCTCTCCAGCTCCTCCACCTGCTGCAGCACGGCGATGTCCATCTCCATGGCCTGCTCCTCCACACACCAGCCTCGCACAGACTCCACGCTCACCTGGCTCTCCTCCAGCTCATGCAGCTCGATCATGGCCACTAGATGGACGACATGAGAGATATCAGCCATGAATTCACACACAAACACACTTAACGATGCAGGTAAACACGCAAGCAATGTAGAAGGATGGCTCATAAATAACACAGTGTTTGCGGTGTATTCAGGGATCGCAGAGGGCACTCTATCGCTACAAAACTATTTTCTTAATATATGCTGTGATTAGTAGCTTTCTAGAAGTGTTTTAGGCACTCACCGTCTCTGTGTTTGGTGCAGGCCTGGGGGACGATCTCTGTGTATTTCTGCATTTGCCTCAGGAGGCCCTTCTCCCTCATGCCTCGGCTGTGGAGAGCTGCGACTAAAGCCCTCAGCTGGTAGATGTCAGACACCCGCCACCACCCTGTCAGCAGCTCTGAAACAACGAGCACAAACAGGCAGTTAAACCACAGGACACTGAACATACATCACTGTTAAAAGGGGCTTCACTCAGCTATGTTATACCCAAATGAAATTGCGTACAGCAGAGCAGAACGTTCCCTAATCCAATTATCTCGGATTATTCAGGCAAGTGCATTTTTTCAGGTAGGCGAATTACTTTTAACTTAAAACATGGGGGTTGATTATGGCCTCAACTTTATTCTTATCAATGCTTTTTGGTCACTCACCCTCTGGAATTGGCCGAGGTGTGAAGTGGTCCAGGGATTTGGGCATCTCCAGGGCAGGGGAGGGCATGGATGAGGTTTTCTCAACGCACGGTAAAGGTGATTCGCTCTTGCTGGAGACACTGGCTGTGGTGTTGCCCTCCAGAGAGTGACCCAGCATGGGAATGGGGCTGCTGCACAGAGGCAGGCTGGGACTTATCATGCTACAGGGCCAGCTTCCGAAAGAAACTCCTAGCAATGAAGCACTGGACTTCACCTGGGGGGAGAAGAGGAACAACAAAAGGGTGAGGGAGGTGGAGGAGAAAAGGTAGTGCATGGCAGAAATAACTGAACAGAACACAGCTACACTGAACAAATGTAAAATTTACTTTAAGCAAATGTGTTACGCCAAAAGGTTCCATATAATTGTATTAGGTTAGTTGAAAGCAATAGTATTAAAGGTCACCTATCGTACAAAATCCACTTTTTCATGTATTTTATACATAGATATGTGTCCCCTCTGTTTAAAGAGATTCAGAAAGTTTCGTCTCAGTAACAAAGACCCCCTCTCTTTTTGTCCTGATCCATTTCTATAAAAACCTGTCTGAAAATGAGCTGATCAGATTTTGGCCACTTTATGATGTCATAACGATGTTTTGGCTTGTGTAACCATTAGCCAATCACCAACCAAGGTAACACCCCCCCCCCCACCTTATCACCTGGATCTCTTCCTAGCATGGGGAGTGTGGCACCTTATTCTCATCTAAAGTAACAGACCCAGAATCAGGACTTTTGAAACAGGGCTGAAACAGAGGGGTTGATGGGATGCTGCAATGCACGATCTGTTTGGTATTTCGAGCCAAACACTTCAGAGACATGTTTTGTTTATAACTGAGACCTATATTATATTGATGAAAAAGAGTGTAATAGGGGAACTTTAAGTTGAAACTATTATTTTGTATTTATAGCTAAAGTCAACGTTTCAGTTTTGTCCGTCTTGGTGTAGCAGCCTCACCTGCAGGGCAGACAGCGGGTAGTTGAGGAGGCCAGCAGGGTGGTGTGGGCTGGCGGCGGAAGGGGTGAGAGGCAGGGCGGGGGACTTAGGTGGGGAACTGGGCCCGGCCGGGGTGGAGGACGCCTGGGGAGACACACGGGGGGCTCCTGGAGGGGGCGTGGTGACGGAGGTGAGGTCACAGGGGTTGCGAGGGAGCAAACTGAACCAGTGTCCGCTCCTCTCCGTCAGGACTCTGAGGAGCTGGTCGTTGGGTTGGAATGAGATGTATGGAGGTGGAGCGGGGGACGAGGTAGGAGGAGTGGTTTCTGGGGATTCACGTGGGGCAGACAGTGAGGCTGGGGGAGGGATGTTGGTAGTGTCATTAGTGGTCACCATGGAGTGGGGTGTTGCTACTGTCTGCTCAGAGGTATTGTGAGTGGGGGAGGATGGTGTTGCTGTGCTTGTAGCAACAGGAGAGCCGTTTTGCCCCACATGGGGACTCTCTTTCTCGTCTGCCGTCACAGCTTCCTCGCCAACGTCCTTGTTGACGTCCCGGAATGTGCACAGTTTGGTTACACAGCCTGGCTGCTGGTAGAAGAGCTCCTCCTTCTCTGACTCCAAGCCTTGCGTCCGAGTGCTCTGCCCATCGAGGTCTGTGGGTTTCTCCTTCTGCAATTCCATCTCCTGAGGTTCCTCTTTGACCTTGACCTCCTCTGCTGCTCTCCTCCTCCTCCTCTGTCGTTCCTCCTCCATTTCCTCTGGAGCTGCAGGGAAATGAGGGGGCGTACTGTTAATGTAGCTGAAACACAACTGAGGGCGGATTATTCTGTAACATTGTCCTACGCTTGCTTTTGGAAGAGTTGTATTAGATCATTCAAGTTTACAGATGCAATCTCAGACAAAGTTAAACATCATCTGTATATTTTACACTGAAGAAACAGAAGATGTTTTCACTTGTTTTCTTCATTCCTCTCACTTCTCTCTGCAATGTGCATAGTCATGGTTTTTTGTTTTGTGCATTAATGTGCTTCACAATCAAAAGAGCAAATGAAAACCTTTCAACATAATAATAAATCAAACTTAGTGTGAGTTGTCCTGTAACTACCTTCTCCACTCTCCATAGCTTCAATGAAGACCCCCCCACAGTGGGGAAGTACCCAGTACCGGCGGCGATAGCGGTCCTGGCCGTACATCATGGAGCGAAGAGAATGTGATATTTCAAACAGCTTTCTCCTGGTCTGATGATGTTGCTGCAATAATACAAAACACACTCTGTGATTTATATGCATTATTTTAATCTAAACAGTGTCAGGACGTGTCAAGCGTATGCTATCTCACGTCCTGATGCCAACACAGTGATATATTGAGTATTACTTGTTATGCTAATGAGGTGTTTTATTAATGCCATCAAAGGCAAATAGCCCTGTCAGTGTACATGTGCAAAACACATGTTTACACACACAGTATTAAAGAATGTACATGCTGCAGCTTTTTTATTACCTCATAATCTGATATATTAGTGTAGGAGGTGTTGCCTACTTATTTATTTCACTCAATTGTAATTAAAAAAGAAATATTGTCACCATGGCAACATAGAGTTAAGTCCAGTATAACCGTCTAGTAATGGTGGTTAATAAAAAACACCAATCACCCCCCATGTTTCGGTGGTTTATCTCTTCATAGTTGGATCCCCAAGAGAGTATATTTTAATCTCACTATCTGTGGGTTGCGTTTTTAATCACACATCATCAGTGTAAATCAACCATGCATTCACTTTCTGATGCCTTATTCATTTGTGTTAATGATTGTTAACTTAGTCACAGCACTTGTTCATTATAAAGACACACGTACCTTGGCTAATTTCTCTATCTGCTTCTCCAGCTCGTCCAGACTGGTGGCTTGCTCAACTTCATCCTGACAGGAGGAAACAAATCCAGTGAATGAGTGAGAACAGTAATTCATCTATAGATTCACGGCTGTTACCAGTCACAATTTCATGGCCAAAATCATTTACAATATTATTGTGATATGTATAGAAAATGAAAATGTATTGAAAACCAAAATAATAATGCTTATAGTAAAAAATTGCATTTTTAACTTTGTTGATTGTGTGTCTCTTTTTAATGTCTCGTAATGATGTTGAAAATGATGAAATATCATGGTTATTATCAATACCGGTATATTGCAACACCCCTGGATCCATCAACGTTTTCTTTTTTTTTCTTACCTCATCATAGGTCTCCACTTTTTTCACCTTCTTCAATTCTTCCTCCTCCTCATCCTCATCCTCCTCTGCCTGGTCATCACTGTCATCATCCTCGTCATCCTCATCCTCACTGTCTCCCGCCAGTTTCCTCTTGCGTTTGGTGGCAGAGGATGGCGTGCCAATAGACTGGTTCTCCTCCACGCCCATACTGGCCTCCCTCCTCCCAGTCCGTTTGGCATAAATGGTCCTCAACCTGCACAAACACACACAGGTTGAGATTGATAGTGAAGGGGGATCAAAGCATTGTTTTTTTGGATGAAAGAAAACGTACTTCTTTAGTTTTCCCTCCATAATGATCTTGTCCTTCCTCATGTTTGCCATCTGGTCCAGGTTCTTTTCAATCTCACTGGAAGGAGAAACACAGTTAGCATTGTTCTTACAGTATGTACAGTATGTTTGTGGTTTTGGTACCATCAAAAAGAATACGGCATATTAAGCCAAATATAATAGCTCTGAGAGGCTGGTTACTATCTACAGACATAGATAAGAGTTTAAAAAGCTGGTACCCTCGGGCATAACATTAATTCTTGCATAATCTCTTCACAAATGAAAGGACTGTATTGCAAATTACTGCTCCACACTGCATCAATAAAACACACCATTATAGACTAATGAATAACCTGAGTGTTAGGCCATAGAACATGACACATATATGTGTTCCCTTAGTGGTTGGTGAACAGGAATTTTTGGATTCCAGTTTTGGGTTTTAAATGATGTATATCTGGGGGTGGAGGAAGTGTTGCAGATCACTTTATAACCATAGATTTCAGCTGTTACTCCTACCTGATGACGGCTCTGCTGCAGGCCAGCTCGTTGCCCAGGAAACCCAGGATTGAGGCCTTCTGGGAAGGCTTGTGGGCCTGGAAGGCCTTGGTCTTCAGGCTGAGGGCCAGAGGGGCCAGCTCTGTGTTGGGACAATGGGCCCCCATGTACATCTGCAGCACCTCAGACACATTATCCCTGTTGATGCCAACGTTGGTCAGGTGGTCCCCCAGCATGGTTTTTGTCTTAAGAGAAGGAGAGAGGTCAAGTTCATGAACACTTTCTTGATGCTATTGTATTTTATTATTCTTTCACCACTGTGCAGCAAACACCTTTGTTACTTTTAAATGCCCTGTATACAAATACTATATATGATAACCGTAAGTTAAATTAATGTCCATGCATGTCAATATACATTTATTCACAACACAGGAAAACATACTTAAACATTAAATCAAACCCCAACAATCCAATACAACCAGATACATCTGTATTTGAAATGTGCTACAGAAAAAATATAAAAAGTAGTCATACTGTAGAATAGCAAAGGAATGAATGAGTGGAGCAATAACCTTTAAGATGTATTGTTGTGGGTACAAGGTCTACATGCAAAACATGCTGAGTTTTTTTATATCAAAGCAATGTAACATATTTACAAATGTTATCACACATTTGGCATATCATATAACACAATACTTATCAACCAAATGTATCATTAGGCTGTAGGACTATCAGATAGCAATAAGTGCATTTGCATTCTCTGGTGTAATTCTTAAGATGTCTCCACATGTTCAAAATAAGACACAAGTACAATAGATGACTTAATGAACTTCAAACCAGCTCACCCTTTGTCCCGGGGGCAAACCAGGGTCACAGACCGCCAGAGAGAGCAGTTTGACCAGAAGGTCTTGAACCTGGCCCATGCTGTCCCCCACATTGAGCAAGCCTTCCTGTAGCATGCCCAGGGTCGGCACGTCGGAATTCAAATCAAGCCCCAAAACCTTCCCGAAGCCCCGCAGGAACTGCATCAGCATCAGGCAGTCCGACACGGCACGTCCTGGCAGGATGAGTCCAGGAATCCGGGAGAACTCAGGGAGAGGCTGCAGAGAAAAGAGGGTGAAGTTGAGATTGTTGTGAATTTGGACTACAAAAAAATATGATTTTAATAGCTATGGGAAAATGGGAGGAGCTGTGATTACATCCCAAATCTGTTAACTGATATCAAGATGGTGCTTTCCAATTTAGAGCGACGGCTGCTTATTTTCTACATTATGCAGTACTCTCCTTTTACCACTTGGGGGCACACACGTCCACACATAAAAATGCCCACTTCCATGTGGTCATATCGTAAGTACTGACCCTCAGAAAATGTTTAAGATACTATAATAATAATAATAATTATTATAATTATAATTATAATAATGATAATAATAATAATAATAATTGTAATAATAATAATAATAATAATAATAATAATAATAATAATATTTGTGTGAATGTTTCAGTCTTTCTGCCTAAGTCAATGCATTTAACAGCACTTAAAAGAGGAAAGGAATGACACTGTAAGTATATCAAAGTGTGTATAGACTATCCACTCACACCAAAAGCACTGTCCGGATGATCTCAACTACCTACCTTATGATCGGACAGACACATATCTTCATTTGGCTTCTTCAGTTCTCTCGCTATCTCCAGCTCCAGCCTCCGTTGCTCCAGTTTACGCTCTTTGTTCAAGCGCTTCTCATCCCTTTTCTCCTGCCGCATGCGCTCACGCTCCTGGAGTGTCCAAAATTCAAGAGAGTATTAAGGAAGCAAAGTGTGCATATGCAATTCTGTGTGTGCGTGTGCGTGTGTGCGCGCGTGTGTGTGCGTGCGTGTGTGTGTGGTGCGTGTGTGTGCGTGTGTGTGTGTGTGTGTGTGTGTGAGAGAGAGAGAAAATAGACAAGAAGGTTTACTTGACTTTGCTGAGCGGTATTAGAATTCAGCCTAATGCTGCTGTGCATTCAAAAGAAAAGTGCTTGAGGGCCAGAATCTTTTGACTTGGTAAGTGTGTAGAAAAAAAATGAATGGAGCGAAAGAGTGCACAAAAAGGAGAGAAAGCGGGAATCTATCCAGGGAATAATGACTTAGGCTCTTTTGTATGGAGTGGACTGTGTGTGTGTATGTCTGCATTTATTTGTGTGCATATGGGCTACCTCTGCTTTCTTGCGAGCCTCAACAGCCTTCATCAGCATTACATGTTGCCTCCTCCTCTCCCTCTCCTAGAGTGGCAAAAACACAGGCACATTAACAAGCACACATTGCACATACAGCACTCAAGGTCGACTAAATCTAGTATGCATTCATGTAAAATTGTGATGCACGAAATTCAATTGAGGCACCATACTGGAACAAACACAAAACGATGCTTCACATGTATGCACTTTCACATGTATGGTTGAAGCACAAGTGAAGAGTACAGTATTACGATGACAACCAAAAAAGCAACACAAAGAATGCGATACAAAGTAGATGTGATGACAGGCTCAAAAAAGAGAAGCAGCTGGAGTCGGTGGCGGCGCCTCTAAACTAAAGCTGACACAACAAAAGCAGCAAAATGCTGAATGCCAGACGTCATCTGACGTGCCACTTTGGCATGATCAAAATAATACATTTTATTACATGAGTCAATGAAAATGTTTTATTGACATATCATCTTCACAATATTTAGTGAGGGGACGACATTTAGAATTGGTTGGTAAAGACTAGCCACAATCAGAGCAGCTCTACTTCAGTGGTTTTGGCAGCGTGAGTATTAGCACAATGTGCGACTGCAGAGGATGTCTATGTTGTTCTTTGGTGCATGATACACAGTCTACTGCGAAAAGGGCACAAGAATCACCGGTGACTGACTATCATTTTATTTGATCTCTTTAGGTTTCCCGCTCCACCGTATCAGGCTGTAACTCCCTCTGTGATCCACCAGAAAGACACAATTGCCACTATTAGGGCTTGCCAAGGACATTTCCAGCACATAGTGAGTAAAATGGGGCTTTGTGTTAGGGATTGTTTAGTCATTGTGATAAACAAAACAGGCTAGATGCCAAACACTCTGCTTCAACAGTTCTGTGCCCTTCTTGGTTTGATTTATCTACAAAAGTAAAACTTCAAAAAGGACACAGAGCCTTTGGCATTCTGCTTTTTCTAGCTTTCCAATTGATTAAAACATTGACAATGTTGAGGGATATTATGATATCTGCATGAGACAACCGTAAGTACCAGGATTATGTTATGTATCTCAATTTGCTCTGAGTTAAGGCAAAGGGGGTTAATGCAACAATCGGCTCTGAGTCCACGGTGAAACAGATAGGCAGACATTTAGATTCAGCTGTGACTATGTATGAGTGAGAAGGGCTAACAAGCAGGACAGCCAGGCCAAAATAAAATGCTACACAGAACCATATTTGTCCAGATGGTGGATTTATTTATATTGTTTTCTACAATAAGGTCTGTTTTTTAGGCAATGGTTGTTCTGAACCCTCACCAAAGTGGGTGAGGGTTCAGAACGAACAAGCGGGGGGAGTCTTCCTGGAGTATCTCCACCATAAGGACAACATGGTTCTTCAGAGCTTGTTTTCATTCTTTGTGCAGAGGTACAGGAACAGTGAATGACAAGAGAGGCGGGATGGGCGGTAAAGTCCAGCACTCGTGGACTGCAGAACAGATGCACGGACAAACAGACACAAGCTCAGTCTGGGCCAAATTGTCAAGCACTCATAGGGCACACAGTGAGGCTACTCCGTGCACATGTTACCCAAGCTCTTAAGTTACACGAGTATGTAGTCGTGATCTGGATGGAAACTCCTCGAATGGGCACTTGAACTGTGAGTGGGATTCGGTCTAGCAGTCTTTGCATGCATTCTGAGTTAGAAGGGGGGAGGATGGGGAGGGGGACAGAAGCTGCCTGGCGCACCGTGACAGGGTCAGTGTCCCTCAGGACGAGCAGATGGAGGCGCTACTGACTCTTTTCTCTTTTGTTGGTTTTGCTGGAAAGCCATGCAGAAGAATTGTAGTATACAGCAGCGCAGTGCTACACTAATGCATTGCTATGACAACCATAAACAACCAGTTACACACGATGGCAGGTGTTAGATGTACAAATAAACATACCCATACCCATTATCCTAGTCTATGCTAGTCTCCAACTCCGCGGCAAGAGAGATTGGCAAATATTATGGAACGAAATAAAAATCCAATACCCAAAAGCAAGTGCGTTCATAAAGAGAATACTGAAGACTTTCATTCAACAGATGTTGGTTAACAAGCACAATTTATATAATACTCACACATGCCTTGTATTTAAACCACCACACACACACACACACACACACACACCACACGCAACACACAGGCACAGACCAGACACGCACACACACACACACACACACACACACACAACACACACACACACACACCACACCAACACCACACACACACACACACACACACACACACACGACACACAACACACACACAACACACACACACAACACACAGGTCAAATTCCCTATTCACAGTCAAGTCTGAGGTAAACGGTTGTATTCGGCAGTACTATTATGTTTAAGAGGCAGAGCAAGTTTGAGTGAATTCCTACCTGGGTTGAGGATCTCGACTGCTGTCTCCTCACTCTTTCTCCTTGAAGGCAGCCAAGAGAAGATGAGGGGAAATCAACTAGGCTTCCATTGTGCCAATTCAGGCGGTCCTCCTGCCCGAGAATCGCCGCTACAGACTGATGGAATTTCACAAGGGCTGCTGTGATGCTGTACACGGCCAGCTGCTCTCAGTGGAAAACGCGGGCCACATCGTGGTGCATTTGAGGCCTGATTAAAGCTATTTGTGATTAAAAAGCGTCCTTGCCTTGTCTAGTATAGAATCCAAACTGACTGTGATTCCTACATCTGATTTTATTTCAAACACATACAAACAGTACCCTCTTATACGCGGTTTTCAGCTTCCATTACTTTTAGCAGTGGCACGTTCTTCCTTCCTTTCTCCGTTTGGCCTCTCTGGGAATACAAGATTCAAGGTCAAGCCGACTCTCAGAAGACGACAGACCATATATCATCAGTCTTAGGTCGAGGCTTAGCTGCACTGCTTAACTGATTGGTTTTTCAGTTTTCCTGCTTTGAGCACGATTTTCATTGCTCAGCTGAATATG